CGTTATCAATAAGATATAATGACATAGTTCGCGACTTTGAATCAATATCACACTTAATCGAAATTAGAACTAAAAGGTCGGCCTGGTTTGGTGGAGTCGGTACTTTGTCCAAACATCTGTTCGGTACAATGGACGAAAACGATGCCATACGTTATAGTAATGCCATTCAAGTTATAGAAAAAGACCAAACTAAATTATCTAAATTAATCAAACAAAATATTTTGGTAACTACATCAACCATCTCTTCTTTTAAAGATACTTTAAATAAAATCAATATCAATGAACAACAGCTAAACAGTGCAATTGATACTCTAATGCATGCACAACAAAACTCCACATTACTTTCCGACAATCTACTTCAAAGGTCAAAACTTAACGAAATATTGAACGTTCTAGAGAGCAGTTTGTTAACACTATCGTTTAAATTACAAGATATTATTAACGCAATTATGTTCAGCAAGTCAAATATTTTATATCCGTCTATAATAACCCCGAAACAATTGTTTTCAGAGCTTGTAGACAATTATAGATTTTTGGCTGATTATCACCAATTCCCCATAAGTTTGTCATTAGATAATATTTATACACTAATGAATGTATCTGAAATCGCTACCTATTATAATAACAATAAAATTGTATTTGTTCTAAAAGTACCACTTGTCGATTCAAAAGATTATCACTTATACCATAGTATTCCATATCCAGTCATTATTTCTAACAAAACATACGCAACTATCATTCCATCAACTAAATATATCGCCATCACTAGAAATAGAAATCATTATTGTAAGTTGAATAGTTTAATTAGTTGTAAGGTAATATATAATTTAAACTACATTTGTGAAAACATAGATGCCTATTCCAGTTCTAGATCCCCGATCTGCGAATCGGAAATTATTTCTAAAGCCTTAAACTCTGTACCTAATGTTTGTAAAACTAATTTTCTTGGAGGTCATTTAGATATTTTGCAACCACTGTCCAATAATAGGTGGGTCTTTGTAATTACAGAACCTTATAAACTCTCCATAGATTGTCAAGACCAACCCAGTACAGAGATAATAATAGTAGGTACAGGCATCATTAACCTTCCCATACATTGTGTAGCATTTTATAAAGATTCAAGGTTAATACCAAAATATTCAAAGATAATAAAATTTCAACCAATTATTGTAAATTTCAACCTTTTAAACGACTCTTGCTGTAATTCTGTAACTCTATACAAAACTAAATTGCCTTTATTAAATTTATCTAA